GGAGGAGGAGGAGGAGGAGGAGGAGGAGGAGGAGGGGCAAGGGGCAGAAGAAGGCAGAGGAAGAAGTTTTGTCAGCGGCGATAACGGTGGTGATGACGCTTGGTTGACGTCCCCGGGTGATGTCCCCGCGGGCGAGAGCGATGCCTATGGCGAAGGGGGGGGGAGGGGGGGGGAAGGACGCCCAAAGTCGGAGGAAGCGGCGACGGCGGGGTTGCTCCCTATCCACCTGTTGCTTAGGAGCCTCGGGCGTCAGGGCTACCGGCGGCGGGGTTGATGGCGACGGCCATTGATCGCTGATCCGTCGATCGTATGCTGCTTGAGTTCACTCGACTCTTAGGTAGGTAGGTTGGTTGGAGGCTGAATTTTGACCGTTCTTCCTGGAGGGCCAGACCCAACAGACTCGTAAGCCGACCTCTTGTTTCTTGAGGTGATGGTTTTGACTGATTGGACGGCAGCTTCGGTGCATCGGATTGTTTTCCTTCCTCAGCAGCCTTCGCAGGCTAACTATTTTCAACAGGTATGTTGGATGAAGCATGCAATCAATCGGAGAAGTTGGGTTAGGGTTGGGGTTTAGGGAATACATGGTCTGCGTCCCACCTCCCTGTTCTCTGTTTCCTCGTAAAGTTGTTAATCGCGCGAAGGCCTCCCCCCCCTACCTCCGCGGTAGCCTCGAGAGGGGGCTGTGTACACGCTGCTACGTCTGGCACGTGCTGGGAAGCTGGAAAGGACAGGCAAGAGAGTCGTACTGCACTTTTCTGTTGGTGCAGCAGGGGTTCGGCAACCGCCTCCTCGTGCCATTGTGTGTGAACAGCCACGGCTATGCTACGTATTCGCAGTTCTTTCGATTCTCGATAGCATTTGGAAGACAGGCAGAGGGAGAAGAGGGACAGAGGCAGAGACAGAGAGGCAGAGGCAGAGACAGAGACAGACGGAGAGGAAGATAGACATGGTTCGAAGAACACGCGCCATGCGTGTCGGAGATTAAATGCACGCTACAAGGCATTTCCTTGGTATTCCCGACACAAATACTTTCCTGTAGAATGTCTCCTCTGTCTGGTAAATTTGGCGAGGATAGCATCGATTCTGCCTGCAGCCTTGCGTTGTGTGCCCCAAGCAACGAGCAACCCGGAGGTTGAAAGGGAGAGGAACAAGTCTGAAATTCGCCACAGCGTGTTGTTGCTCTCCGTGATGAAAAATGAGGTACCATGACCTGGTTTCAACTCCAAGCTGAATTCTTGTCCTGGATGTCTGGTAAAAGGGGGTGGGAGATATTTTTCCCCATCATGAATTATCGACAGCAGCGGGTCAAGAAGGAGGCGGGTAGCGGGCCCATCATTTGCGCGTCGGAAAGCCCCCTCGCCGAAGTGTTATCCAAGCTATAGCCTTCCCGGACCGGTCCGCTGACTTTGATAATCCTCCCTTCCATGTCGTCCAGAGCCCGAGCGAGGGAAGATGAAAAAACGACGTGACAAGTGAGAATAATGCCGCACCTCGTCTTTCCTCCTGCCGGGGTGTAGCGACGAAACACGGACATTGAATGCACGGTCGGTTGCACATGAGAAGAAAACACATGGACCGTCGAAACCAGAACAACACGACGAAAGGCGTGTGCTCCTGCACTTCTTGCGGGAACGCTGGTTCATTATCCCCGTTTGAGTGCATGCCGAGGAAGAGGAATGCACCACCACAACATATCAATACACTGGGCAACAACCAACACACGCGAACAGCTACCCACAAACAGGGCCATGCTTGAGAGAGACGCAGTGACAGCTGCTGACAAACGTCAAAAGACGGCAACAATGATGGGAAAAGAGGGACAGAAAACAGAAACGCAGACACACTTCCAGGGACGTTGATGTACCGGCTGGCACTGACGCCTTCCTTTCCACTTGGCCAGCCGGACATCACCGTCGAGCTAAAAAAAAAAACACACACACACACACACACGCGACACACACCTCACCGCATAGGAACAAGAGGCTTACACAGCAGCATCACAAAGCCGCCAAAACAAACGGAGCTATATGCCACCCGTCCATTCGAAAAATCGTCTACCAAGTGGTCTAAATGACATACAGGAACGTACGTCGTGTGCGAGCCACGTTGGATACACAGTTTTTCGAAATAAAACTGATCATGGACGACGTTTAGCAACAGTGCTCGAGCGAGTCAACACCAAGACGACGCGTGTGTATGCACAGGTGCCCACGCCCAAAAACCAAGCCCCTCTATTTCAAGTCTTTACTCTCCCGCCGTCGACGTGCCTACCCCGGTGTATGACGCACCGTAGAGCACTGCCGCAGGTCTGCCCTTGACCCCTGTGGTCTCAAGGCATGACTTGGTAACAGACACCAGATGCGTACCTAACGCTGTAGATCTACACACCGGATAACACGACCCCGAAACAGCAAAAGCTGCCGACGGCCACAAAACTACAAAGAAAAAAGGGAAACCGTAACAGCTGAATCGAATGTGGCTCAGCATACATCAATAGTCTCCAAAACAACACAACGCCGATGCACTTCTGGTGCAGAGCGCGCCCAGCACCTGCGATAGCGATGGAGACGAGGGTGGACATAAACCACCCCCGCACCCGTCGCTAGAAACATACAAGAACAACGGACAGCTCTGCACGAAACCCCTGCTGACGGAGTAGCGATCTCCATCTTGTGCGCTGGAACAGTCTCAACTTTTCTACCACGCACGCCGCGCGCGGCGGCCGGGAATCGGAGCGCACGTACCGCATCCGCCCACCGAGTTGCACGACCACCAGACCTCCTCCAACTCCAACCGCGGCCTTCCTAGATGAACCGAAAATCCATAAATTCTTCAAGTCATGGACAGGGGGCCCCTCCCACCAACACCAAGGTGCTGTTGTACACTCATGAGAAGAGTAAACGCAAGCACACAGATAACCGGAGGTAGGAACCAGAAACGGAAAAGCGGCGGCCCTCCGGCGACGGACGAAAGGACAAAAAAAAAAGGACGTACACACAACTACGAAAGATCTTACCAAGCAACATGGCAAGTGACAGGCAAATGTACATAACAGAGGGACAAAAAAAAGGTTGTTGTAATTGTCCGCCACCCCTAACAACAGAAAAAATTAAATGTGCCATGAGCAGCTCATCGTCAACCTCGGCGTTGTGTCGTTCTCCTCTCGATGGGTATCCCCCCCAAAGGTTTAACAAAGCACATGCACGCTCGGTGGGACTAAAATCAACAGAATCCGGGAGTGATCGTCGTGCGTACCAGCCACCGTTGCTGTTGTTACAGTAGAGCACGAGATGCTGAGGCCAGATCAGCCCCCCACCCACCCTGGAAAAATAAGAAATCCAGGCCAATGCAATCAATTCAACACGGGTGCAAGTGACAAGCGATCCCTTTTGACCTCTTGATCAGGACGCGTTGTTTTCGACACGACTCTCTTTTGCGGCGAAACGACTGTACCCTCCTAAGTCACCTTTCCGCCCTCCCTCCTCCTCCTCCTCCTCCTCCTCCTCCTCCTCCTCCTCCCTTCTGCGTCGCCAGCTACACGCCAAGAGCAACCACGGCAACGACAGCCTTCGCGTCATCTGCAGTAGTATAGCATCTCCTGTCGTGTCTTTGCCGATCCGTCCAGAGAAACCCATGGGCAGCAGCGATAGATATCCCCGGCGTCACCATCGAATCCGTAAAACCACTACCCGAGGGCCCTCGTGCGCCGCCCCGCTCCGTCATGCCGCCGCTTTCTCGCCACGACCTCAAGGCAGGCGGGACAGCATTAGAGTTCTCTCATCATCGCTTTTCGCGTTTCCTCCTGCCGTCGAAACGGCTCACTGGCGACAGCAGTAGTCCTTGCACCCACCACGCCCAACGCCGGCATCATACCCCCCCCCCCCCCCCCCCCCCCCCCCCCCCCCCCCCCCCCCCCCCCNCCCCCCCCCCCCCCCCCCCCTCCCTAGAATGGCAATGGTCTAATGACAACGGCATGCACGACTATGGGAACCCCCCCCCCCCCTAGAATGGCAAGGCGGGGGGATAGTACTCCTCCCACCATCTGCTCTTGTCGGCGCTGTAGAAGTAGTAGTCCGACTCCGGCATGTACCACGCCCGTGCCGGCGACACCTGGCCCCCTCTCCCCATCCCCTCGTTGAGTGCCGCCAGCACGTCCAGCTGCAGGTCACGGAAGTCCTCCACCGCCTCCTCGAGTCCCTCCGAGTGCAGCTCTTTCACCTTCTCGCGGGATGAGAAAATAAGAACCCATCAGCAAGCGACAGCAGGAAGGGGAAAACAAACGCCGTTCGTTTTGTTCGGGCCGAAGAGGAGCGAGCGAACATCCCTCACTCGAAAAAAAAAAATCAATAAAATAAAAACACACCAGACAAAAAGACACGCAAAATCAATTACGCACATAAAAAGAGGAGGGGAGTACGGACAAGGAACAGCGGCAACGTCGGTGTGGGACAGGGAATCGTGTCACAGGTCAGAAACGAGCACTTCAAGCTCCAAGTCTGTGCAATCTTGATGCTCCTCCCCGAGAGGCCTTCTTGGCAGCAGGCACAACCAGCATCCGAGACCCGCGAAGAGCGTTTGTGAAAACGATGCGCCTTCTGGAAAAAAGTAAAACAGTAAACCATAGTTAACTACTTCATGCATAGCTCTGCAATGTGCTGCCGGCACGTTCGAGACACCGTCCCCGCCTCCTCGAAGCCTTCCGGGCACAGATTGCCCTACCCCGCTTCCAGCCCTGACTGATCCAAGGACCTCACGTGCGTCTTGCCGTCCGCTTGTGCAGACTACGGACTCGAGGAAAGAAGTGCTTCGTCGTGTGGCATCGGTAGGAAATCTAGATCTTGCGCCCCCCGCGGACCTAAAATGATGCGACGCTTTGTTGTGGCGTTTTTTAAGTTGTGCACCCCCCCCCCCCCNCCCCCCCCCCCCCCCCTGCACGAATGCGTTTCGGACCACCTCTGGCGCGACCAGGTCTCAACTACAGTCACAAGACAAGACTTGTATAATTAGATGCCCCGTCGCGCCGCAACCACCCCCGTGTATCAACGACAGTTCGTAATCCATCATCCCGGCTGAAGCCTTGGCGATACAAAGAAGCTCTCAACTTGCCACTGTAGGGTAACGCACACATTCTTTCACTCTTTACTAAATATAATACATCAACACGATCGCTTCATTTCTACGTTTCCTTCTGTACCTTGCCGTAGGCCTCCTTGACCGCCTTGTACAGGCCGGCGTCCAGCTTCGTCACGCGCTCCAGCTCCGTTTTTGTCTTTCAGAACCAATGGTGGGACGGTGACGGGAAGAGAGACAATGAGAGCATGAGAGAGAGAGAGAGAGACAGAGAGAGAGAGAGAGAGAGAGACAGAGAGAGAGACAGACAGACAGACAGACAGAGACAAGGCAGAGGGAAAGCCAACATACATCAGACACCGTCCAGAGTTGAAAAACTGCACGGCGGTGGTCCTGACTTGACATTCGATCCTCATCCCTGTGTACTCTGCTTTCTCGGCCTTCTCTGCACCCTTCGCCGACGCTCCCCTGCAAGCTACCCGACACCCTGGCAAGTCTCAACCACAGCCATCAAAGCCCCAGGTCACGCGGGCCAGGAAGAGGGACTCCTCCCGCCCACCCCCCGATAGCACACACACTAGGTAAAATAAACAAACAAGCTGAAAGTCCGTCCCAAAGATGGTAAGAAGTCCTCGTATTCTACCTAATGATAGGCCCCAAGATGACTACTTTTCCCGTCCCTTCCCCCACCCTCGCTGGCCCCTTCGGCAACCCCCCCACCCCGCACACGGGAAAATGACGTTGGATGACAACCTCCATTCGCTCACCCTGTGGTGCAGGTCTTTCAGCCTCGGCGCCTTCTTGATGGGCTTGTCGTCCCAGCGGACGCCACCATTACGTGCCTCCAGCAGGGAGGCGTAGGTGATGTCTATCGGGTCCCAGCCCATGACCCTCCCCAGCAGCACCAGACCCTCGTCGACCTCTTCGGTGAGCATGGTCTTGTGAGAAGAAGGGGGCACCGCAAACGCGGGTAGGGGGGGGGTTGCCAGGCCGCGGTGTCACAGACAGTCGTCGTCTTCGACCAGGTGGTTGAATATTTTCGTGTTTGTTCGAGGTGCTGTTCGTGTACATCGACCGCAGAAAAGACATGGCAGGACACACGACCAAAACGTACAGCATGTATCGAGAAGAAACAAAACGCAACACGCACGACACCATGCTTCCTTCCCTCTCCCGCCCCCCCGTTGCCACCGACAAGAAACCGAGAACAAAAACGTACAAGACAGAACACCTCAAGCAAAAAAAAACAAACACCCCCGTGCACCAATCGCATGTTCTCCCGAAGCGCATATTCTCCCGAAGCAACTCGACGATTTTAAAACAGCAACGAACGCGGACGGATGCGGATAGTAAGTACAAGGGTGGGCGGATGTGCCTGCCACACACATACGGTACACGGTACACACAAACGGTGCACGGTACGCACCAGGGCGAAGCTCGGTAGGTGGTTGAGGACGAACTCGTCCAGGTCTCTCTCGTTATAGATCCCGAACTCCGCCGCCAGGGGGTTGTTGAGGGGCCGCTTCTTGTGCCTTCCCGACGAGAAATATTCCTCCACGTCGATCTGTTTGTCGTTGTCGGGTTGGTTGACCAACGTCCACAATCGCCGCCGTTGCGGTTGAGGTTCGTGGGCGCAACGCACGAATTGAGTGGGCGGTGGGCTTAGAAAAATCGAATATCGTCTACTCTTGCCTGCTCTGTGCGAGCGGTGGTGTGAGGACGCCTCGAGGAAACTCGTCTCGATAACGAGGAGATGTTGCCCTCCTGCTTAAGTACATGTATACCACAACCGTGTTCGTGAAGCAGCCAACAGAAGAAGAGGTTGGCTCAGCGCCCAGGGTATCAACACCGACAAGAGAGTCACAAACGGTCTCATGCCTTGATGCCTGCAACACAACAACACCAACAACACCAACAACAACAACAACTTCGCACTTTTAACACAGCAACGAGGGCGACAGAGAAGAAGACGAGCCTCATCACCCAGGACCACCAATCCCCGCACCACCCCACGTCATAGCGCGGCGCAGCACAGACGAGCTTATCGAGAGAACCTCACCTTCATCTCCGGCTCGTAGTAGAAGTAAAAATACGACAGCCAGTGATCTATGGGATCCCTCAGCACCGTCACGAACTTCGTGCCGCCGCCGCTGCTTTCCCTGGGTTCTACCGCCGCCGCCGCCGCCGCCGCCGCTGCCGCCGCGGGTGCAACCGGCTCGGCCATGATGTCCTTGAACAACTCCCTCGCCCTCGCCCAAGTCGACTCGAAGTAGCCGTTCCACACGTGGTGGTAGTGGAAAATGTCCACACGGTTGCCGCTCTCCTTCGTCTGTGGACACACACACATGGGGGGGGGGGGGGGGGGGGGGGGGGG